AATTTAAAATGTGAAAAATAATAATACTTGTCCTTCCACTGAGCTGCTGGCTTTAAGTAACTGAGCAATTTAGTTGATTAGCACAGTTTTAATGTCTCAAAATAAGCTGCTTTAAAGCCAGCATTGACCATAAACCACAACTCCCACAATGCATGTTGATTATACGTGGGGATTCCCTGTTGAAAGGTGGGAGAGTTCAGAATTCAAGATGGAAGCTACTCACTACAACTCATCAGCGAGTAAAACACTCTTACTTTTACTTTTAATAGTATTTCTGTAGTATTTATTTCACATTCAGTTGATCATACACTTAGTACTTTTCAGTCTTTATAAGAGGACGTATTAAAACGCTGTTTCTATGCAGGAAATACCAGGTAGAGCTCAGTTCTTTTTTGTTAGCAGTGCTCAGCCATAGCAAAGAGATGAGGAATGTCAAAGTTAATTTCAACTGGCACTTTGATGGCCACCATAATGCTCATGTGCCCCCCTGTGAAAGAGTTTGATACCCCTGCACTACAATGTTCTATGGGGGATTAGAAAATAAATAAACTTATCGTGAAACAGCTGAAAAAGGTTCAACTTTAAATTATGTCACCATGAATAATTTCAGTTTTCCAGTTGCAATAAAAACCAGTGTTCTGAACTTAAATATGCAACTGACAAAAACCATTTCTACCGAATATGAACACCTTTGACTCATACTAATACAATTTTACTTTAAGAAAATCATTTTTTTAATTTGTAGGTCAGCACTTAAGCTGTGAAAATCGGTTTTGGTTTCATCTGTTTTTGTTTATTTCAGTGTTTTGTTTTGTTTTTTCACCCCCCCCCCTGTCTGGTAAATGATCAGACACTCGCAGCCCTCTCTCCTTCTCTATTAGCACTTCCCATCTGATCCGACGTCTCAATTCAGCTGTTCTCCCAAGGGGGAGGAACAGGATATTGTTGTTGTCATGGTAACGGGTGGCTGCATCTTCTGTGCAAAAACAACTTGTTTGGGCTCCTAAAAAGGAGCCGGGGGTGGGTGGGGGGGGTACACATCAGCAGCAGAGCGGTGAGAGAAAAACATGTCAGAGCATCAACACAGACGCACCTGGGATTGGGTTTGTTTTGTTTTAAAACTCTGTCGGGTATTAAGGCAACTGAAGGATTCCTTCTGTTTTTTAATTATTTTAAAAGCAAACATGAAGAAAAGCAACAGATTTTACCTGGATGTAGAAAGTTCGGGAGCTGGTGATGATCTCAAACAGGTTGTCTCGAAGCAGGAGGTCCCTGAAGGTGCAGAATGAATTTATTTAATTAATCTGCATGTATTTAATTTACCTAAAATATAAGAAAACATTATGTACGAACAAACAGATCCATTTAACTATATGGTTATACTGTATGGAACCAAAGCTCACTTTTCACAAAACTAATTTGGTTAAAATAAATGAATTTGGTTAAATAAAGTTTTTTTTTTTTTTACATTGTCACACTAGACAACTTATGCCAAATTATGAAACTTTTTTATTTCTAAATTGCTAATAAAAGTTATATATTTGATAAATTTGTTAGAATTACATTATGTACACGCCGGAATGAAGCTTCCTGTTGATTTTTTCAATTCCATCTTCTACGTATGTGTATTTAAAATGTTCATAAGTTGGCATAAGTTGATTAGTGTGACAGGGCCTTACCAAAGTGCAAAATGTGTACATTATGTAATATACTGTTGGTTTCAAAAAATAAAAGATGGGAATAAAAACTACTCATATTTATTCAATAATAAGAAATATACTGTTTGTTTTCGGTGCATTAAAAAAAAAACTAAAATAAATCAAGACAAAATCAATCAGAACTTATAAGGAGCACATTTAATATATCTAGAAGTGGGTTTCTGTGAAAAAGATTTGTTTGAATTATAGCAATGAATCCCAACCAGGGGTAAGTGTACCCCTTGGGRTACGCGAGCRTAATACAGGGGGTATGTGGAAAAATTTCCAAGGTATGTAAAAACATAAATAAAAACAAGACTGGGATATGTAGGGCCCTATGATTTCTGCAATGTGAAAATTGCAGCTAGAATAACAGAATTAACACAAAATTGAATCAAGTACAGGTATAAAACATAGAATCTCACAGAATTTGCTCATTTGGGGTATTTGATGTATTTAAGACAATACAATGTATTTTGGACGCTGCTGCTTCCTTCACCTGCCATTACCTGGTTTGTTTATTTAATTACTTATTCACTTTCAAGTCAACGTTTTTATATTTATGTTTGATTTGAGTTGAAAAAAATAAAATGCCTGAGAATTAAATGTTCTGGGGGTTAAATAAATAATTTTAATTTAATCAGCTGTTGTACATTATAGTTTTGGAGAATCAATATGATGTTTGACAGAGGGGGTACTAGGGGTATGACAAAATGGCTCAGAGGGTACACAAGTCTAAAAAGGTTGGGAACCACTGAATTATAGGAACAATAATATTTTATCTGTTGTAAATAGTTTTTTAAACAGCGTCATTCTGGAGAAACTGAGGATTGACAGATTGATTGATGAGCTAAAGGCTAGTCAGAGCAGGAACAAGACCAAAGTGGATTGTTGTCATTTTAAAGCAACTCCAATCTCAAAAACCTCCTACTTGTTCCAGTGAACTCTGGTCATTTTTTTAACAAAATATTATTGTATGTATTGTCTAATAATAAAAACTTACAAGAAAAAACAGGATTCGATGTAAAAACTAAAATACAGCTGTTAAGGTCTGAACACTTTTGTGTTTTCATTGATTCTCCAAACTGAGGTCGTACTCAGCGCTATCTACAAACACGTAAGATATTAACTGTTCATGACTCTTCCACAGAACCCCACCTCGAGAGATTTGAAAGTATCACTTTAATTTTCCGGGGGGGTGAAAATGCAAGCAGAGATAAGCCTCGGTGCTGCAACGTCTGTGAAACACGTGTGGAGATTCATCACTCAGCGCTGAGTAAAAGAGTTAGACATCCTGGAACGGTGCCAACACATTGTTCTGTCTGCRTGAGCGTCTTATCTAAATAACATCTTCATATTTGAACTTTCATTCATGGCGGGGGATGGAAGTCAACCTGGGGGCAGAATCTGACTCACCCCGACTTGACGAGACATTCGTGGACTTTCTGAATGTCTCTCAGTGAAACAGCTCGGAGAGGCTCCTTGTCCTGAGACATAAGCAGACAAAGACCATAGTTACTCACCAGCGCCAGCTAGAAATAAATAAATATAAATAAATAAATAAATAAATAAATAAATAAATAAATAAATAAATAAATAAAAGAAAGAAAGAAAGAAAAACTTCTCCTCACCGCCTCAGACTTGTAGTAACTGACTGCTTTGTCATCCAGGGTGAAAAACCTCCTCTTCCAGCTCTTCCTCTACAAACACACGCTGTATTTAAACTTTCCGCTCACCCAGTGCTTTGTGTTTTTTTATTTTTATTTTTTGTAATTCAGGCAGATTTATTCTGCACGAGGCCAAGCACTCACCACATTTCCTTGTTTAACACAGTAACCACATCGCAGCACACCGGGTCTGTTTCCCTTCTTCTCCTTTCCGTTCGTCTCTTCACTTTCATTCTGAAACGGTTCGCAGCAGAAACACCTCAGCAGCTGCAGCCGCCATCTTCACATAATCGTTCAATACACGGCTCCTGCTCTTACAACATTTTTCTCTGCTGGCCATAAACTGATCCCCCCCACCCCCACCCCTGTTTTAAGCTCTTGTGACTGAAGGTCATTGATTTCATTGTTGTTAATGATGAAATAAAACATGCAAAAACAACCAAATCATGCACAACCCCGTAATAGAACTTTATAAAAACATTTTTAAAAAATCAGCATTTTTCTGCTGCTTCTGYTGTTTTCTCACAGTGACTGCTGGTCTGAGGCCTACTTTGAGACTGTTTCTGTCTACCTTACCATGGTGACCATAATGAGYCACTGGGAGCAGCTTTAACATTACTTTTGATCTTGGTTCTCTTTACACAGTTCATACATCTAAACATAGAAATGTTTCTTATAGATTGTTACAAAGATGATGTTGTAATTCTTCTGTTTTAMTTGATGTTGAGCTTCTTCTTCTTTACCTGTATTGGCGTGTGCACCACCACTCCACCAATGACCTCCGTCTTGTAGGCGTGCTGCCTCTTCCCTCCCTGGGAGTCGCTGATCTCGGCGGTCACGTCTGGTCTGGGAGGTGCAGAGGTGCTGGAGGGTTTAGGAACCTGCCAACAGGTGGGACAGTGTTACTCAGGCAGTCAGCATTAACGTGGCGATAGTTTTATTTCCACCAGAGAACCAAACTATTCTATATCCAAACAGCTTACTGACGCAGCAAATATTTCGATTCGCAAACAGAAATAAAGTTAAAATCTGTTTGTGTAGGTTTGCAATATCTCATATATAACATTCATCTGCTTTATTTGGATAAGCAAACAGAGAGTACTTAAATATTTAATATGTAGAAGCTTTGTTTGTCATTTTTAAACATACTTGAAATTGATGCTGGCAAAAAAAGTAATTATTTCTGTAACTAAACATTTAAATGCCCAGTTTAAATAAAAGTTACTATGACAAAATACAAACATTATTTTAAATGACAAAACAACAATGTTAAAAAATTAACCAAGTACTGCAACACAGTTGAGAGGAAATCGAATTTTCACAAATGTTTTTACTTAATGCAATGTCAGGTTTTGAAAAATTGTGGTTTCTGTGACAARGCTCTTTATTTAACAGCAAAGGTCAGTGCCTTTGAAAAATGAAGGTCTTACATGTGACCCATCACATCAAACCGAGGACTAGTCACAAGGTGGAATGTGAGGAAATACACAGAATTGATTAAAACTTTTGCAACAACTACATTATGTAAAAATATAAAGAATGACTAACCTACCTAAAGGTCGTCAAATGAAACATAAATATCAATGTGTTATCCTGATTAGGAAGACAAATCTGGAACCTCGAATAATGTCAGGATGATCAAAAGTATCTTAAAATGTAGGAATATGAAAATGTGCTGAGGTCATTTTAGCACAATTAAATTTGACTCAATTCTCAGTTTAATGAATCATTTTAACAAGTTTTAAAAATATGTGGCTGCATGATTTCAAGAAAACCTGTGATTGTAATTTTATTGTTGAATACAGCGCTGCCATTGGCAGTATCACTCCACCCCCTGTTAACAATAGGTGTTAATTAGGTGTGAACGATAGCCATGTGATGTGAGTATCAGTCACATGGAGGCAGGACTCAAAAGCCTGAATTTTGCCTGAAACTCTCAGACTGAAGAAGTCTYTTGGARRAGAGACGAAACGTTTCATTAAAGAAGAACCCGTTCAGAAGACCTATACAATTTTTTTCCTTTTGATTGTTGAATGTTGTGACRCTATTATCCACTATAATAAACCCACATATCCCGTCATTACTATGATCACTCTTCATGTGTCGGCTCCGTTTGGAGGAGAGGTGCTCAACCTGAGTGTTAAATTAATATGTCTTTGTTTGCAGTTTGGGTCTACAGTTATTTTGAATCCTTTACATGATATTGTGCACATCAATATTACAAGATGGATCATTTTTCTATATCCCACGGCTCTAGCCCACAGTRAAATACGACTGAACTGAATTGAAGTCTTCAGCAAACAGAAGTTACAGCTCAGATGTCTGTGAGCTGTTAGCAGCCACAGATAGTTACGTCCCTGAAAATATCTTATTAGAAACAAATGTTCAAACGAACCCATTGAAGGTTAGAAAGTTCAAAACTTTAAACATGATTTATCGTCTTTCTTTTTTTCTCCCTCTCCTATAAAGTATCTCATGACCTCTCACCCATATATATTTTTTGCATATATGTCAACCTCTCCCCGTAAAGAAGGCTAAAATAAMTGTTGTTTCAACCGCTAAGTTCACATCCTGTCCACCACGCTTCGCACCTTTTCATTGAAGCTCAGAAAAAAAAAAGAAAAAAAAGTTGCAAAGCCACCAGTTTGGCCCCCCGCCACAACCTGACTTTCTCTGACGGGGAAGCGAAAGAGAGAGCGAGCTGCAGCGCTGCTTCCTGTGCGTGTGAGCAGGTGAACGGCGAGGACAGAGGCGCTCCTCTGCTCGACATCTGCTCGCGCCGCGGGACATCGGGACGTCGGCGGTCAACAAAGGGCCCCCAGATGAATACTCAAATCGTATGCAAAACGCGCCCAAACTAAACGTTGTCACCTTCACTGCAGTGACGTCTACGTCTCGCTGTTATCTCTCGATTTCTTGCACATTCACAATTTCCCCATTCACACAGCGCGACAGCGTGTTGGCCACAAAGCTTGGCTTCCGCATGCTCTGAAATGGACTGCCTTTGTCTCGCCAAAAACTTTGTGTGTGTGTGTGTGTGTGTATGTGTGTGTGTGGAGGGGGCATTCTGTTATCCCGGCGTGGACAGGAGGCAGGACAGCGGCCCCTTACTGTGATCTTGCTGGCCTTGTTGAGCGCAGATATCCAGTCCTTCATGTCGTTCGCATCGTCGGCCTGGAGGAAGTACCGTCGTGAAACTGCATTGATGACTGCCGACACAGAGAGATCCACAACGACCACATGAGATCATTTCAGCACGTGTGCAACAACAACACACACACACACAAAAAATGTGGTTGTGTAATACCACAAAAGGAGAGCGTCAGTGTTGAAACTCACCGAAGCAGAACTCCGTCTTGGGCTTCTGCTTGGCTGTAGCTTCATTCACCTGACGATTAAAAAAAGAAAACAAAAAGGAGGTGAATACTTGACGCCAGCACAGCCCAGATGTTATTATCTTTGTGAACAAGCTGACATCTGGTAAGCGTCGCCAACTCTGCCTCAGCTGCATGTGATTTTAAGCTGCAGATAAGTCTGAGGTCCACACAGAGCAAACCTCTAGATCTGTGCAGCCACACATCACACGTGGTGGGAAACAAAAAGAACCAGCTGAGGTATACCTTAGAGATGTAGGTTAGTTTGAGGCTGCCGACAGAACTGGCTCCACTGGGCAGGTTCTGCACACAAACACAAACACAAAACACACACAGTCGTCATCGGGCTCAGAGTCCAAGGTTCCCCTCGGCTCCTATTGATCGTTTGAGCCGCTCTCGCCRTTTGAGCCGACGGGTGTTAAATGTTAGGGTTCAGGGGAGGAGCACCTGAGGATTGTCCATGTACCACAGCAGGACATTCCCCAGCGTGTCCAGGATGAAGTATCGCCTCAGGAATCGGCAGCTGTTCTCCTTCTCCTCGAGGTCCAGGAAGCCGCACACACGGTTCAGCCGGTCCAAGTACGGCATGCTGCCGCTATCACATATCACTGGAAAACACACAAGACGAGACGAGTTGATGYGGCTAAAAGTTTTAGGACTCGACGAAAAGGAACCGATTCTTTGGATGAGGGCGAAGCAGATTTGTGCAGATTTGGAGGGTAACTCATCCCTCGTTTGCTGTTCACACACACACACACACACACACACACACACACACACACACACACACGCACACACAGAGAGACACACAGGAAGACAGACCCACTCAGCAGTTTTTCATGTGACGTGATTGAGGCTGAGCTGCAAACCCTGAGAGCCCGAGGCTGAGCTGAGGCCCTCCACCACAGCCGAAAATTACACGCTGCGCTCCACATCTGCACACAGGCACATTTCCACTGGACAGAGGGGAGGAAAGAGGAGGWTGGAAGGAGGAGAAGAGGGGGAGCTGGAGACAAGGATTTATTAAAAATATGTCGTCTGTGTGTGTGAGAGTGTGTGTGTGTGATGTGCTGAACTGCAGGCTGAACTCTCAACACAACTGAAACTTGCTCAGACTCTCACGATATCTTGATCAGATTTGCTGTGTTGTGGTCTCATTTGTGGCTTAAGTTTCACAGTAAGTTATTGTTTTATCAGTCCATCGTGAAGCTGGACTGTTTTTCTTTCTTTAGCTTTTCTGCAGACTAAATATAGAGGAATCTAATGCTTTTGGATGCATCAAATTTAAAAAAATCTAAATAGGATTTCCCCACATTTCCCAATATTGAAGCTCTTTAAAAAAWTTTTTAAAAAGTCATAATACTAACTAGGTCACATCCGAGACAGTTTTTTTAAACAAGTTATAAAGTAGTGCCATTTTTACCAATTATTGCTACCCATTTAGTGATTTTTTAAGTAAACATTCACACATGTGACCCAGCAGAGCAGGAGAAATATGAGAAAAATAAAAAATAAAAAACACCCCACAGGAGTGCAGGTTGCCTCCTCACCATTCCAGAGGAAGTCCTGTTGAGTTATTTTTAAACTGATGATGGGTTGAGAAAAAAACGCCTCATTTTGAAACCCAGGCTCAGCTTCAGATGCGTCAGCCGAGCAGGTTTGCCTTTAAAAATAGGTCAAACCTACAGAAAACTTTAAAAGGGGAGGGTGGAAAAATGAAGATGGAACTGCACAGGTCACACAGATAGAAACAAAACACACACACACACACACACATCCTGCACACCAACTATTTTGGGCAACTGAAAACATCTGGTTTAATCACAGCAGAGAGAAGCGGCGGTCAGGTTTAACCAGCTTTGGGTAAACTTAACCATTAAATGTTATGTAGAGGGTGGGCGATATTAAGAAAGGCCCGGCTTGAGAAATGTAGGAGGTGCAGGCGCCGAACGTCAACAGAGTCTGAGAGCTGAACAAAGATCACAGCAGAGTTATCACACATCCACACGTCTCCAACCTGTCAGACAGACAGACAGGCTCAGCTGGGATGGATGGAGAGCACACCCACCAACCAACAGGCCTCAGCAGACAAAAATCATCTTATGTGGAGAAGTGAAAGAGTTTTAACTGTTTTAGTCAAACACTGAAAATAATGTTCAAAAATTATAGCTCAGTATCTGCTACAGTTTGTGTTGGCTAATGTCAGTTAGCTTTTGACTCCAAACTCCAGACTAACTTTATGAAAGTTTCATTTAGATCCATCCTGGAGGGAATTTGCTAACAAATATTATAAGTTGGAGTCTAAAGTTTTAAACAAAGATCCAATACAACGATTAGCACTTTAAGGATGTATCAATATTTGTAAAGCTGTCTGAACTACAACCAGCTTTGTCAGTTCTATTTTAAATTTGATTGAATCCAACATTTTAATCACTAGATCAGGGCTAATCAACCGGTGGCCCTCAGGCCACATCCAGCCCAGGAGTGACCAAAATGCGGCCCGCCAATTGGTTCATTTATCCCTTAAGTCCAAACCCCGKGTTTTCTACTTTAATTCCTATAAGTTCTTTTAGCTAGACATGGACATGTTTGGTATCTAAAAAAATGTCAGTATCTTGCTAGAAGCTGGTAAAAATCATTTCTATGAACATCTAAGACATTTAAAACTACAAGCAGTTGAAGACAAAACTATGAAAGTGAAAATAAAATTGGTTTAAAAATTTGGCGAGTCAGAAATGTCAAAGCCTTGTGTTAAATATAAGGTTATTTTTGTTTTTTATATTGTTTTACTCTCACTACATTTATTGGTTCTGTATGTTGTATTCATGATTAAATGCAGCAAAATAAACTGTTTCAAAGGTAACAGATCTTTGTAATACTTGGTTTATTTACATAATGACTTTTATTGCTGGATGTTCGGCCCCTGTGCTGTTGTCCTGCAGTAATAGCCCTGCACTAGATGATCATCGAATGATGCTTTCCTGAAAGTTTCATCAAAGTTAGTCCAGTTCATGAGATATTTTGCTAACAGACACACATGAACACACAAATACTATTTTATAACTCTTGACATGATATGACAACCCCATCTAACAAAACCCACATGTAATTATCACCTTTAGGTGGAAAAAAAAAGTAAATGTTGCATAAAAGTGATACTTTTCTTGTATTTAAAGCTGGACTGGTTTACTGATTAGTGAAGTTAATTAAACGAGTTGTCACTGAAGGTTTATTTGGTGGTCATGGGATGCCTGAATAATGTGAGCAGGAAATAAGATGTGATCAGATGGGATCACTCAGCAACACCTGACTGACACATCAGATGAGCTGCTGTGACTAACAGCCACACCTACCACACACACACACACACACACACACACACACACACACACACACACACACACACAATGGTAAAGTGGCCCTATGTGTGTGTGGACAGACACTTACCCTCTGTGGAGAGTCAGTGTGCGCCACAGGCAGCGCCCCAATCCGCAGCAGCAGCAGCGCGCAGGAGGACAGAACCGAGTCCGGTTCCGACGATCATAGCAGGAAATTAAAGAGACCAACTTTCGGAGAACTTTGACAACATTCAGAGGACCGGCTCGCGCCACACTCTCACACCGTCCTTCAGTTTGTTTGTGTGATCGGATTACAGAAGACTGGACTTTTTTTTTTTTCCGGGTTTCTGTATTAGAATAAACCAACCCCCGGATGTGATCTATGCGTCCCCTGAGCTGTACCCTCCTCCTCCTCCTCCTCCTCCTCCTCCTCTCCTCTGCTGCAGCTGCTCATGACCTTATTGAGGAACAGAAAGCTGAGCTCAACTGACTTTTTTTTGCCCATTTTAACCTCTTTTTTTTTTCGTGTTTGTTTGTTTTTCCTCCAGCACCATAGACACCCATCTCTGCAACCAGCTTTCATCAGGAAGAAGAAAATGTTTGTGTGATGTCACCTGTTTGTTCCTCAGGTGACAACCTGAGAACTGGGTCAGATTCTTTGCTGAACCAGGTGTTTTAGTTTTTTAAAGAGCTGTAACAAGAAGGGAGTGCTCACGTGGACAAACAGGAATGTCACTTGCAGAAATAAGACAGAAATGATCTGTACCAGAATAAAAAAAAAGACAGAATTTAAAGTTTGTCACAAGTAAAGAACAAAACTGAAACGTTTTATGAGCTCATCATATGTTAGCCACAGCTCTGATGAAATGTCCCCAAAGAGGAGAAGTAATATTTTTGGTTTATGATGTTCTATCTGTTGGGGGAGAAAAATAGCACAGTTTTTTTCTTTGTGCAAATGTTTTGACATAAAACCTGTAACTAAAGGTCGTGGCACAGCAACTTTGAACATTTCTTTTACTTGTTGCAGGTTTTATTCCAAACAGATAAGAATCAGACACCCTGAACTACTAAAAATATGACAATTATTAATTTTTTTATGATCGTTGTATGTGAGCTCCTTTCAGAACCCTGTCTTTCACTCAGCTTCTTTTTTTTAATCTGAACACTTTAGTTATCTTCACCTCCTTGTAAGTTTATAATCTTTAAAGTTCTGTGCATGTCCAACATTGTTTTTGTGTTCATTTTATTTGTTTTATTCTGTTGGGTATAATGCATTTCTGGTCATTCTGTTTTTCTGGTTGTTTTGCAATCATTGAACAAATTATATTTTTACATTAGGGTTATTTCAAGCACTTATTGGTTCTTTATTTGATTTCTGTTTGGATCTAAATCAGCCAGCCTTTATTCCCACCACAGCACTTTTTACACAATCCAACAAAACACTTAAAAAATGAATTGGACTGTAAAAACCATCAAGCAAATACTAAAATAAAGATATGTTTTCACCTTACTCATACATTCTGCCATCCTGGGATCTTCCAGGAGTTCATTTCAGAGGCGTGGACCACGAAGAGAAATCAAGGCCTCGACATACGTTTGAATTAAAGACCTGAAGGTTTATAAAGTTAGAACAATAAGTATATTTAAGAAAATAACTGTGAAAGACAAGATCACCTCCTATCAGTGGTTTTAAAACTTTTCAGCTTTCGACCTGCAAAATAACAATTGCTGAAACTTGTGACAGAAATGACTGGTTTACATATGAAAACTTTGCTAATTGTGGGCATCATTTATTTTATTCTATTTAAAAATTTCAATTCTATTATTATTGCTACTGTTGATAATGTCACATAGCAATATATTGTTTTGTGAATTGATGTATCTGCTGCTGCTGTTACACCTGAATTTCTCCTCTGTATTCTATTCTATTCTATTCTATTCTATTCTATTCTATTCTATTCTATTCTATTCTATTCTATTCTATTACAACACAAACCAAACAACTTTGATGCTACTAGAAATCATCTGGAGACTCTCACTTTCATTCCCACTTGGGAACCACTGATGTAAAAGGTCTTAAAATCGAACCTGAATGCAACATGTAGTCTGTGTGCAGCTGGATTTAAGAGCATTTGTAACTTTGTGACTGCTTTCTTAGGAACAACTTAAAGAGGAAACAGGACACAGTTCAACCTTGAGGTAATAAAAGCACAGGGTAGCATCTCTGTTGGCTTAAGAGATAAATGGAAATGATTGTATCCAGAAWTTTTTTTAAAAGTGATCAAATCCAGTTTTACCAATCGGTTTGATTTGAGTTTAATAACTGATGTCAGAATCAAATACGACTCAAATCTTTAGCTTGATTCATTCCCCAAGTTCACAGATTTACCTTATATTTTTCTCTTTGAGCTTCAGGACCCATCATTATTAGAAACTTTCACTGGTTGAGTTGCAACTCATGATTTTCCATCCACAGTTTGGTCTCTAAAGTGCAAATATAAAGACAATCAACTTGTTTACTCAGGAGACATACTAATGTAAAGCTGTCACCTGATTATTAATACAGTGTCTCCCGACATTGTCTCCAACAGGAAGCAGCAAGGATAAAAGGTGTTGCACCACAATTAAAACATTTTTAATCTTCTTGCTTTGCTCAATAACCTTTGCAAGGTTTAACATCCTGCTAAGTTCTGTTCTTGTCTTTGCTTCTTTTTTTTATTGCGAAATCTTTTTTTCTGCAAAGCTGAAATGTRTTTGATGCATGTTTGCTCCTTAAATGTAAAGAACCACAGATCTTCTGCTGCCAATACTAAAAGATTGCTTCACATATTTTGTTACATTCAAACAAAGGTAACTGCATGATGCAACTCCTGAAAGGGAGGGAAATAAAAGAGGTCTCAGAGGACAAATTGGCCAAAACCGCCTTTATTTCAACACTCCACTCTTTGACTAATCCAATTTTTTTGGTGGAGAGTTTTCACACGTGTGCAGCATTGATTAATTCTGAGTTTCTAACAGTGTATTTACAGGAAACGGTTTTCTTTTCTTTTATTTATTTATTTATTTATTTATTTATTTATTGCATTTCTTGTCTCCTTTTGAGTGAAAAATTACAACCTCCCGTTTAGAGGAAGTGGTTGCACGTCATATGACCTTCATGAGGCCCGAGACCTACCTTTCTGATTTCATATCCTGCAGTGACTGCACAGAATTCAAGTCTTGTTGCTGCAAGAGGAAGTCTTAAAGTTTCCCCAGACTTTCACGATCCTGCTGAAAATCATAAAGTTGAGCAGCTTGTGTGACAATCTTGCAGACGGACTTAAATGCACACGGAAATATAAAAAAGGGTGTGAACGATTTATTCAGAGTAGCATGCAAGCACCAAAACGGTTATACCACCACCACGGTGATGACACAGAGGAGTAATGTGGTTGTACAGTGTGTGAAGCAAGCCGCGCTCTGCAGCGCCTACTAAAACCCACACCCAGTCCTCCTGGCTACGCCGGAGCTGCGAATGAGGAGGCCTTCACTTTTCACACATTTACTCACCACGGAGTTCTCGTCTTGCATCATCTCGTCTTGCCTCTATTAAAAGACTACTATTCACATCTTCAGGGATAATAAAAGAAAAGCTGCTGAAATGCAGCCTGCATCTGTGGGTCAGACCACCACCACAGACATCAGCCTGTTCTCAAACCACCAGGAACTCCCTGCAGCTAAAACACTTTTCTTTTTTAAAGTTTGGATGGAGAACATGGAGTGATCAGGAGGAGGTGGTGAATCACGAGGGAAAGAAGAGGCGGGTGGATGGGGTCGGGGGTGGTGGGGTTCAGAGCTGACTGCAGGCCACCCTCAGCAGCAGGGCTGAGATCAGCACAACCGGGCTGGAGGCCAAGGCCCCTGCGCCGTTGCGGTGGCCCCCGTGGCTGTGGCTCCGGTGGGGCCCGTTGCAGTCGTCCCCGAAGCAGCACTCCATCTTGGCTCCAGAGCTGCCGCTGCGAGCCTTGTCACAGAAGGACTTGTATGTGCATGACTTCATCACGGTGTCTGAAAGATATTAAGACGCTGACTCTGTAAATCACATTAACAGCTTTTTTTCTCTAACACATGCACAAGTCTGTGATTCCCATAAATAGTCGGGCCAACCTCCAGCAAACAGACACAGAGGCTAGTTTTTATTATCACTCATATACAGTATATTCTGACACAAATACTCAAACGTTTTACACCTTTTGTGCTCTCTCATAACTATATGTACAGTATATATGTGTACTGTTTAATTTTAAGACAAACACTTTGCTCTTTGCATTATAGCTTTAAAAAGCTCCTGCTGTCACTGCAAACAGACCGAGATCTATTTAAACCACTAACTTCCCTAAACTGTGACCTGAGTTAGTTGTCAGTGTTGTGCTGACCTCTAGTGAGAACACCTGTGCTGCATGTCCTCATGTAAATGTGTGTTTGTGTGCGAGATGACTCACTCGGGCCTGTGATGGTGGAGCARGCGTCAGCGTACTGAGGACAGGAAGTGGAGCCCTGTCTGTTACAGTCATCCTCACTGGACGCCACGCAGGTGTGACATTTGAGAGCACGGCCTTCGCAGACAGAACAGGAGAGAGCATCTGGCTTGAAACTAAGCATGAATGTTCCAACAGGTGAGTGCACACACACACACACACACACATATTCATGCTGCCATCAGCACACATTCCTCCATTCAGCTCAATATGTGAACACACACACAGAGCCGGACTCAGGCACCAAGGCACAGCCAGCAGTTCCCTCCACAAACGCATGATTATATACAGTTAAAGTCGTTACACTGACTGAAAATATAGTTCTATGCAAAAATTTTAAACCACCACAAATGTCTTTATATTTTAGAAAATCAGCAGCCAGACTCTCCTAACCTTTTAGTTGTTTATCAATGATTTGTTAGACATTCTATATATATAATTAGATTTTTTTTCCTTTTTTCTGTATCTGTTCAGATGTTGTTCAAAGAGTCTTATCAGGGATAAAAACTTATACAAAGTTGAACAATATATGAAAGTCATGTTTTAGAACAGGGGTCTGCAACCTGCAGCTTTAGGGCCACATGTGGCTCTTTGAAAATGTGACCAAACATGATAGAATAGTTTTGAGTTTTATACCCGAAACAGAAATCTATTTGTATGCAAATATGTGATCAATACTACTAATACAAAAAGTAAAACATGTTAGCCTGTTGTTTACTTAAATACAACTTATTTTTCTCAAATCCATCACCGTCATTACCTTCAAATCATTTGAAGACTACATAAGACGAATTAGTAAAAAATGCCTGAATAACTACTTTTTGTGAAGTTTGGTATAAACTATATACGGTATTTTTCTTGTTTACATGAATACAGTCTTTTTATTTGTACTGATGTGTATAGTAATAACATAGTTTTTTGTTTTGTTATGTCACCTCCACTGACTGTAAAGGTTCCCAAAAAGGCTTGAAAAGGCCCGCAGACCACCTGTTGATAATCACAGTTGTAGCTTGTTTTATGGCTCCGAACACATTTTATTAGTGAGACAAGGAGCAGAAATGGTTCTTTTGATTGTAAAGGTTGCAGACCCGTTTTAAAGGAACAGGAAACCATCCGGTCTTTGAGAATTAACTTTTTGGTGGTAAAATATTACAATGATCCAATTTGAAATTAGTTTCTGATTGAGTGTGTTTTGTGTTTGTTCATCCTTTTAGTTCAGGAGCCGTTTAATTCCTGGATGATTTAAAGGTTAGTTAAGTGACTTAAAAAAACTCTGAAAGAATTTATGGAAAAAGCAGCAAAACACAAAAACAAATAAAACTGTATAACCACCAGAAATCCAGAGAATCTTAAATATTTGCATTCAAGATAAAAAAAAAACATGAATTTCTCTGTACCGAGGTACATTTTCCCTCAGAAATGTCTCAGAAACTTACTGTGGAAGGCCAAAGAGAGGAACATAAGCAGAGCCAAAGCAGTCTTCATGGCTGATGGGTCAATGTCTTCAAGAGTCCAGAGAGAAACTGGATGAGAGCGTGATGGATGGGACGAGGGGGGGTCGGGCTGGAAGAGGAGGTGGTTTAATGAGGAGGTGTCTGAGGGCATTAAAGTCTTATCCCTGTAATCTCCATCTATGCTGCACAGCCAGCAGCACACAGTAATAGACTTAACTGGGTCTGTTTTAACAGGGCGACACAGTTATGGTTCAGTTTTACACAGCAGTCAGTTTAGACGGCGCAGGAAGTTTGAAAATGATCCTGTTGGTTCTGAGCTAACGCACAAACACACAAAAAAATAAATAAATAAAAGTGTATCAGAGCAAACTGGATTTATTCAGGGAATTGTACACTTATTCATCCTGCTTTCACACGAGTGTGAGATTGTCAAAGAAAACAACTAATGATACAAAACAATGAAGTATGTACAGTAACAGGAGATAACATGACTGGCACAAATATACTCTGTGGCACATGAGTGAAGTTAATGCACCAAAAACAAAGCTAAGTGACTCAAGCAGGGATCTCCATTAACTTTTCCTTTTTCTCTTAGATGAAAAGAAACTTCCTCCAGTAGAAAACGCAAAGAGCAAAACCTAATATCTTGTTAGAGGCTATGATAATCAGTCAACTTAACCATTAGAATAAACAGCCACCCTGGGAAAACATTGTGTTTAGTAAAGTTGAGGAAAAAYTATATAAAAGAAATCAATTTTAATGTGCAAAAACCTATTTACTTCCTGTGAATACGTGCATCACGTGAGCAGCAGCAGATAAATGCTGTTATGCTTTAACCTCCTGAAGTTAGAAGTAATTTGTGGTCAAATCGCGACAGGATGAAGGATTAAAAATAACTTGTTGCACACAGCAGCTCCAGTAAGTTGTATAACGATCAACATCTTCAGTCAACATATAAAGTCAGTCTGATTTGATTTATTCAGTTAGCTTTTATTTCCAGTTTTTTTTTTTTTACCATGGTTTAGTTAAGACTGGGGAACTTATTTTGTCAAAACAAAGTGACAAAACTCTGATTGTCAGATTTATCTCGGAGTTATTTCAATGTGTTCAGCTTCTTCAACTCTCCACAATCCCTAAAGTGTTGTAGTGCCAACCAGCAGAGGCAAACGCTGGAAACTATTTTGCAGCAGACTTCAGTATCAGTGCCAAACAAAACGAGGCCTCCGAGGGCCACTGTGCAATCCTCGTCCCCCCACTTTTCTTGTGCAGTTTTTATCTCCACACCTTGACCTCCTTCAGGTCCAAACTGTTTCCTTAAGCTTGGTTCTTTGGGGATAAAATCTATGTCAAGTTTTTACAAAAATACATTTTACTGATTGTAAATTGGGATAAAATAATTTTCCTTCGAATCCCTTCAAATCATAAATGTACGTTCAAAACAAACCCTGAACTATTCTGTTCACCGACACGATGAGCAAAACCTCCAACAACCTCAGAAGACCTCATAAGGAGATCAAAACACAAACAAAACACAGTCATCACATGTAATTACCATGTAAGGTTCTGGTCACACATAGTGCAATTGTAGGATACAGAAGTTACAGCAACATCTGGACATAAGCATAGATTTATGGTGTGCACGGGGTACAGTGCGAGAGCYGTTTCTGTCTGGAGGCATGCGCTGCAGAGCTGAAGGGACGAAACAACTCAGTCTATTTTCCCCATTTTGGCAATCAGCTCATCACAGATCTTCGTGAGCTCCTCGATCTCTTGATTCTGCAGGAACAGCACAAAATATGGATTTATTTTATGCATAAACAATGTTTATTAATGGGTTTATTATGGTTCTAAAAGTTTCATGTAGAACAAAGAGGAGCGTTACCTTCTGCTGCAGAGCTTGTTCCAGAGACTCGTTCTTCATCTGCTCCTTCCTCAGACTGGCGGTCAGCGCCGTGCTCTCAGAGCTCGCCTTGGCACGCACCTGAGCGATCTCCTCATTGGCCCTGATACACACAGTCAGATACACAAACACACAGTCAGATACAAACACAGTCAGATGAAATTAATAATTACCTTGTTTTTAAACAACAAATACAAGATTTCAGTCTTTTCTGATTAGTCCAGGCTTACTTGTCTAGTTTCTCCTCTGCATGCAGCTTTAATGTCTGATATCTTTGCTCCTCCTGCTTGACTCTGGCCAGATAGTCCTGAGCACATTTCTTCAGCACCTCCTCATTCTGTGTGAAGAACAAACAGTGTTTATTTAACACATTTTTACTGCCTCTGTTTGACTTAAAGACATATCWTGCTTTTGAATCCAACTTTTTCACATTTAAATCTTTCAGTTGGGGTCTATATAAAGTGGAACTGCAATACTTTGGTCTGAATCCCTCCTTATTGCAACTCCACAAGCCCCTCTTTTTGAGGTGTATTTGGTCAACTCGTTTTGAAGCTGTCTCTTTAAATCCAAACAAGATGCTTCACACCATGTCCCCTACAGTTTCCAGACTGATCTATTCTAGTTTRATAGAGGGGTTTACRATTATATAAYGACAGAAATTTTCTATTTATTAATTAAAGGAGGTCAACATTGGAAGAATTGTCCATCCAGCTGTACATGTTGGAACCAGAGTCTGACCCAGAGCCACARAATACGCCAGAATGAAGACATCCAAATTCTAGTTGGTAAGAGAGTTGTAAAGTAACTATACAAATACTTAGTTACTGTACGTTAGTAGAATTTCTGGGTATCTGTACTTTACTTGAGTAATTATTTTTCAGCCTACTTTTTACTTCTACTTCTTACATTTTCACACAATTATCTGTACTTTCTACTCCTTACATTTTTTTAAAAAGTCAAGAAGTAGAAAGCCGTTACTTTTATTTAATTTTTGCTTGTTTTTATTCCAACTTGTTATTGTAAAAAAATAAACACTATCCATATAAATTGTTCCTCCTAGATAGAGTGAATTTAACTGTGGTTGAATGAGAAGTATAAATATATAAAATTCTGATACCGTATTAGTTTGTACACAAACAAATGATGTCACACTCCAGCAGGACATAATTATTAAAATAAATTTCRTTGATATGTTTTTTTTTCTTCATCTAACCTGTTTTTTTTTCTTTTTAAAAAGAGCGCAACCCCTGCTGGTTGTCACATGACCTGATCACCTGTTCGCCCATGTTTTTGTCATGTGTGTGTCGTGTCTTCTTGAATGGGTGTTCTTAAAGGTAATTTCATGGTACAATGACAATAAAGCCATCAATCAATCAATCAATCAATCAATCAAATAAAAAGGACTGTACTTAAGAAGTATTTGTATTTCATGAATTATATTATTGCATTTGGCTGCAGACCCTCAGATTTTCATTTTGGGGAAAATGTTTGGGCAGCCTTGATATATGTATATAAACTGAAACAGCTAGACTAGTGCATCCTAAATTTAACATAAATTAATTATTTTAATAAAATATAGTCATTTCTGCATTTTCTTGGGGGGGCAGGTCACCTCCTAACATTTGTCATTACAGAAAATCTAACTGCTCATTTTAAATTAATACTTTTACTTTTAATTCTTAAGTACAAAAAATACCAGATACTTTAAGACTTTTACTCAAATAATATTCCTAAAGCAGACTTAAACTTTTACCAAAGTAAATTTTTGGTAAGATACTTTTACTTTTACTCAAGTATCACTTTGTGGTACTTTATACAACACTGGTTGGTAAGTCCAAATAATTTGATGTAATAGTTCAGAAAATGTCACAGAAAATAGACAAAACTGAACAGATTGAAAAATATGACCCAAACAGAATATAAAAATATCTACGCAGCACCAGAAGAAACTAAATCCAAATTGTTTGCACTCTTAGAGGCTACAAGTACACAACAAAAATGTATTTAATGGCTAAAAAAATGGATTTTGCATTATGTCCCATTTAGGTCTCTGTGGGATTTTTTTTTTTTTTGTAATCTTTTCCTTCAAATGTTTCCGAAGTCCAGTTCTCCAGACCCACACCTGAGAGCTGTGACCTCTCAGTTACCTCTCCCCCCACCAACAGCTGCTCCCAATCAGTTCTGCCTCATGGAGGTCAAGAGTTTGCTATAAACTTCAATATCTGATGTTTTTTTTTTGTCAGATCCATCAACTTAAACCCGTTTCTGCGATCAACCACATCTTCCAGCCTCACACTGACCCTAATCCTCTTACAGCTTCCCCACCGCTTCACAATCAGATCTTTCTGCAAGTTATTACCAGGAACTTGTCCTGATTTTGCTTACTTTCTTAAAGCCTTCGAGTGTGCTCTTCATGTTCTCGTAGCGCCGAAACACATCTGAGAGCGAGCGCTCCACAGAGTTCAGGTCAGCCAGGGCGGCCTCCTTCTCCACCGTCACTGCGTGCAGCTCCTTCTGGAAGTTCAGGGTGTTGCGCTGCTCGTCCTCTGATAGAAAAAAAAAAACACATTTGTTTTTCCACTTGAAATAAGTTCTTTTTTTTTGCAGTGTAACACAGGATTAACTTAAACGGCACACTTTGCATGAAAATACAAATGTTATATACAGTAAATTTAAATATCCTGACAAATTGTTTTAGTTAACTGACAATTTACTCACCAATCATTTGAGCAATTGTTTTTTCATATTCAGCAACAATTTTTCTGTAATAAAAAAACAAAGACAGTGGTTTTTAATACTACATTCACTGAACTGCAATAATACTTCCAACACAGATTAAAAGCTAAAAAGTAAAATCTGTTTTCGATGTAAACATCTGAAGTTTCTTTACTCTGTCAAACCCTCATGGAGAAAGTTTCTCTTCCATGACGACAAACTAAAAGCTTGCAGCAGCTTGTAATCTGACCTCATCTCCTCGACTTCTTGTTTGCACTGCTCGTATTTTTTCTTCCAGTTGTTGACTTCAACCTCCTTCGTGATAATCTGGAAGGAGAAACCATCCGTGAGCAGAACTTTGGGCATGAGTCGAACTTTATCGGCGATCTCTGCAGCCTTGGGAGGCTAAAACAAACAGATGTGTACCTCCTCTCTGATAAGGCCCAGAACGGCCTGTTTTTCTGCCTCGCTGATGCAGATGGAATCCAAGACCTGACTTCCCGTTTTCTGCATTTCACTTTGCCCCGATGAGCTCTTCAGTTCGCACTGGTCTTCATACTGTTGAGACGAAGGATATCCATCATTAACCTCCATCTTTACATGTGCACCAAGCCTCGTGGGTTCAACCATTGAAACTGAACTTATGAGGAATTTGGGATAAAAAACATCTTTATTTAAACAAATGTTACAATTATTATTATTATTACCTTTTTACAAATGCAAATTATGATAAAGCAACATTTTTTGCTTCATTGTTTCCTTGTATCATTGCTGTTGTTTAATAGATGTTTTTATGAATGTCAAACTTCTTTTTGTCCTTCCTTGGATTAAGACTTAATCTTATCTCATGTGTGATAATCTAAATCCATCTGTCAGCTGAGGAGATGGTAGCAGACACAGAGTACCTCATGATGCCTTGCAGCTCAATGCCGTCATCACATCTTATAACACAGTTGGCTGTAAACCTAAACTGAGCGATGGGTTACATTTTAAATCAAACCGGGGATTTAACGGTCTTATTGTAGCTGATTTAAGGTGAACATAAAGAAACAAATGTAGGTGAAGAAAAGTGCTCGTTTAACTGTAAAGGCTGGAACATGCCTGGACTTGTCAAMGTGTTTTTGTTTTGTGCTTTTCTTTTTTAAACTTGATTCAGTTCGGACAGTGACTCACCTCCTGATCAATTGTAAAATGTTTGGCAGCCGAGTTTGTTTCTGATGTTGAAAATGTTCGCTTCTTATCCAACAGAGCACCTCGTCATATTTTAAAAGCTTTGAACTCCTCGGATGAGAAACGAAACAACTGACTACAGAACCAAAGTCCAGATGTTTTGCTTTTTTAAAAAATAAATAAATAAATTGTGAAATCATCACTGCAGATGCTTCTTTAGTGGAAGTGAAAATAAACTAAACCTTAGCTAAGTTTGAAACTTGGCTAGTAACAGGTGAAACACAGCTGTATAATTAAAGTAATTTTAATGCAGATTTACTTTAAATGCATTTAGTTTCTTTTTGCGCCAACATAAATGTCTCAACTAAAGGACAGATGTGATTGTGTCTCACCTTGAAGCAGCAGTCTGATTCTTCTGGTTTTGATGTTGATTCTTGAGCTAAAAAAACAAAACAAAAAAAAAACAATTGTGGAATACCTGTAATTTACATGTAAATTCATAGTAATGCAGTTCACCTGTATGTCCAGTGGGTGGCAGTAAATGAAATATTACCCAAAATATATTTTATGATTTAAATTCTACTGTCAAAGGAACTGAGAAAACATGATTTCTTCAGTGATGTTTTGATTAACTGTAAAATAGTAAAAATACTGCAGACAAACCTGTCTTTCATCTGAGAACAAACCTACAAGATACACATAACATTACCCATTCCCTTTATATTTCCGTGTACTCATTACAGTTCAGTGATCTGTTGGAACCCTTCTGTGTCGAACATTGTGTCTTCTATGTAACCTTGTTAAATATCAAACAGTCTTCATGAAAACACTTCCTCAGAGCAGCAGTMTCGTCTAGATAAAGCTCCAAAAATAAAAACCTGCATGTAGCAACTCAGATGTAAAATTTTCAATCAAACCTGACACCTTCTATATGTTCTTTTATCATTTCTTCATCAAGAAATCAAAAACACGAGAAGCTAAGTTTGAGYTCAGAACACTGAGTTGCAGCAACATGTTACCTGTTTATTTCTATGCAGCTTAACCTTTAAATAAATAAATCATTTAGGGCACGTGTGTCAAACACAAGGCCTGCGGGTCAAATGTGGCCCGTGGGTGACTCCTGTCTTGCCCGCCTGGGGGGGTACCCCTTCCCCCACCACCCTCAAATTTTTATTATTTTTTTACTTGGCATGAAATTTGTTTCTTTTATCAATGGTAAACTTTTAATTTATGATTAAATGCAACAAAATAAATTTAATAAAAATAAATGAAATAAAATTAATTTAATAAATTCCTGTCCCTGAGCTGTTGGCTTCAAGTAACTGAGCAATTTAGTTGGATAGCACAGTATTAATGTCTGAAAATAGGCTGCTTAAAGTCAGCATCAACCATAAACTAAATAATATTTCTGTATTTATTTCAGATTTAGGCAGTCATACACTTAGTGTTCTCATCAGTGATTTAAAGAGGACGTGTTAAAACTCTGTTTAGTCAAAGTTAAACATGAAACGTCAAAGTTTATTGGCCCTTCGAGGGCCACCATAACTCTCATGTGGCCCTCGGTGAAAATGTTGACATCCCTGATTTAGGGTATTTGCTGTAAAATTGTTTCTGAATTAATGTGAATAAAAAAATAATATAACAAAGAAATGTTGCACACAATTTGTATAAACAATATATMTGAGGGAAAAGAGCTTTCAGGTGTAAACTACAGCAGAGATCAATACAATCTATGAACATATTTTCTGTTTTAAATGTTTATAATAAAGGTATTTCTGCACAGACAGCTGACTGAACAGCGGTTTTAAAAACAGACTTGTCTTTGTGTTCCACACGTCACACACACATAATAAAAGTCCTGTGTGTGTTTGTGTGTGTGTGTGTAGCTGTGGGCAGAAAGGACCTTGCTGCTGCTGCCCAGTATTGACTGATCATTGCTTTTGTTTGCTCACAGGAAAGCCAATGCATGCTGACCAAACTAAAGGTTTTCCAACCTCTGTTCAGTACTGAGTTAACAGGATGAACTGTGACTTTATTATCATCCATTTTAAGACAACTTCATTCTTTTACTCACCGTTWTGGGATTTTTCTGACTTGACCCCAGAATTGCTCGCCAGCTTCTCCTCGTCTGTAGCATGGCCTCCGTGGTGGGTGTCCTTGAACGACAGCAGAGCTCGTCACCTCTCYGAATTGTTTGCAGTTATACAGAGCTAATTTATTTCCCATGAGTCAGATATTATGCAAACACTGAAGAGCAGAAACACTAAGCTTACCTGCTTGCTTGAGTCCTTCTGCATCGACTGGTTTTGCTTCACTTTACAGGAGTTCCTGAGGAGACAACATCAACAACTCTGTGTGCGGACATGTGAACCATTACAACAACTTAAAAGAAAAGAAAGCGTTAAAAAGCCTGCCAGCCATAAGCACAAAGCTTTGCTGMGTGTGTTGAGCTCAACAGTGCTGAGTTAAATTGTGCGGAAGAGAAAGCAGATTAACTAAAGTGTTTGTCAAATTTGCTCTGAGCTTTAAGGAGGATTACGACGTTTCCACTGACATTCTTTGTCCTTTACTTCACAAATATTTTCCTCACATTTTCTCCACCTTCACTCTCAGACTGAAACCAGGTTTCTGTGAACTGAATGTGTTTAAAAGGGAGCTGCAGTTGCAAAGCTCAGTTGCTCTGTACTTACAACAAAACACAGAGGAAATGGACCTGTTCAGCAGTCCTGATGCCACACAGAGAGAAGGGAAACAGAATGACACGATGGACAAAGGAAAGGTCAAGGAACGTGACAGGAGTTAACRTAAACTCAAGGTGAGGGCAGGACTAGCAGTGTAGGAAACAAAGACTGCAACAGGAAGACTGCGAGTGCAACTGGGAAAAAAGGGCACACAGAAAATACTGTTTGTTGTGAGAAAGATGACCGTCATACTAAACGATTAYGCCAGTCTTCCTCAGTTTTACTCAAAGACTGAAATGTTCTACCAGTCCTCTCATAGCTGCCTTGAATGTAAAATGACAAACAGCATCTGGTTAATGGTTTTTGTGTCTTGTAATAAATGGCTGTAAGCTGTATGGTTAAAAGCATCACAAATAAATGTAAAATATTGCATAAAAATTAGTATGTAGTGTGTCATGGTTTTAAACCTAAGTAATTAAAAAAACAGCCACAAGAGGGCGCTGCTTCACAACTAAATCCCCTAATGTCATCCAAGAAACGTTCTCAGACCAAAACAAACCAATACATACAGTAATGTATGATTACAGAAGTTTTACTGTAACAGATTGTTACATGAACCTATATGAATGAAATTCAACAAGCCCTTCCTAAACACAAAAGTGAACAAAAACACAGCAGCGAGTCACAGATACAACCACAGTTGGCTAAAATGAGAAAACTGAACATTTCAGGTTCTTTGTGCACCTTTAGGATTATCTACAGTGGCAGTGACAAGAACGAGTTTGTGGTTTAGTATCAACTGATGACACAGATAAGGCCTGTGTGTGTGTGTGTGTGTGTGTGTGTGTGTGTG